AGCAGGTGGAGGCGGCCTACCTGCTCATCTCTGCACAACCCTGGCCACCAGAGTACGTGACTGTGGGGCTGATCCCAGCCGGCGCCCGGGACATCCGAATCCAGGAGCTGGCCGAGTCGGAAAACTTCCTGGCCCTGCGGAAAATGCACTCGAATCAGTATTTCCTCAACGGCTGCCGCACCATCCACTGGAAGGGGGACTACGAGGTGGCAGGCACCATCTTCACGTACGAGCGCATAGGCGACTGGGAGAACCTCACATCCCCTGGGCCCACGGACCAGCCCATCGTGATCGAGGTGCCTGCCTCCCAAGGCCCCGGGCTGGGGGCTAGGGGCGGAGTCCAAGGGACCCGGGCCCCTTGGCCGGAGAAGGCCCGGGGCAGTCCCGGAGCCCGGCTCTGGCCTGGCTGTGCTGCTGGGGCCTCTGCCTCCGTTTCCCCATCTCTAAACCAGCCCTGGGTCCCAGGGGTGGCGGGGTGGGCTCCTTTCCTTTGGGATGGTTACTCTGGCTGGGTGGAGAGGCTGCCTTGTGCTCATGGGCCCCCCTGCCCCAGCTACTGTTCCAGGATAGCAACTCCGGGGTGCGCTACGAGTACACCATCCAGCGGGATGCGCTGCCTGAGTTCTCCTGGGACTATGGGTCCTGGAGCAAGTGCACGGTCACCTGTGGCACAGGTGAGGATGGGGCCTTAGTCTCTGGGCAGGGATGCCGGCTTCGGCCTCCAGGTCACTGCTCATTGAGCCTGGGGTTTTGCTTCTCCGAGCCTCAGTTTCCCCATCTGTAAAATGGGGCTATCGATAGCCCGCCTCAGGTCTCCCTTGGACTTGCAGGCTAGCAGCAGCGGGCACGTGTGGATCTCTGGCCGTGGGCCAGGCACAGGCTTAGCCAGCACATGTGTGACCACATGTCATCCACACACCCAGGCTTGCTTCCAGACAGCTGTTACTGTTACTCTCATGTACAGATGAAGACTCTGAGGTTCAGAGTGGCCAAGTGAGCTGCCCAAGGCCTCCCAGCTAGGAAGCCCCAACCTACCGAACCTCCACATTCTGTTCCTCCTGGGGTGGGGGCAGTGGGGGCCTGCTCTGGCTGTGGCCATGTCTCTGGGTGCCACTGAACCCCATGGCCACCCCCAGGCATGCAGAGGCAGAGCGTGTTTTGCACCGAGCGGCAGATGGGGCCTGTGGATGACAGATACTGTGACCAGGAGGACCGGCCGGATGACCGCCAGAGGAAGTGCAGCGAGGAGCCCTGCCCTGCCCGGTAAGCCCACCCTGCCCACTGCCCCCACCCAGGCTTCTAACCCCCAGGAACAGGCCCCACATCAGGGGAGCAGAGGGAACGGGCTCTTACCCCCTCTTTTTTTTCTTTGTTAATCCCCACCTGAGGATATTTTTCCATTGATTTTTTTAGAGAGAGTGGAAGGGAGGGAGAGAGAGAGAGAGAGAGAGAAACATCGATGTGAGAGACGCACATCAATTGGTTGCCTCCTGCACGCATCCCGACTGGGGCCAGGGATCGAGCCTGCAACTGAGGTACGTGGCCTTGGCTGGTATCGAACTCAAGGCCTCAAGACCCTTCAGTCCACGGGCCGACGCTCCAACCACTGAGCCAAACTGGCCAGGGCATCTTAGCCTCTCTTCCCAGGGCTGAAGCCGCAGCCCCAGGCTGCCCCCACCCCAGCCTGGGACGTCCCTGCTCACTTGTATTTGGGTCCCCGTGTGGGCACAGGTCCCCTGGGGTTAGGGTTAGGGCTGTGCCCTGTCACTGGGCTTTTGGGGGGGGGTGCCCTAGACTTGGAGCTNGGCTTTTTGGGGAGGCGGCCTAGACTTGGAGCGCTGGGGACACGTCCCCTGGGTTTAGGCCTGACCCTGCCTGGACCCTGAGTGCCTGGGAGTGCAGCCAGCTCCAGGCTGATGCCACTGTGCCCCACAGGTGGTGGGCAGGCGAGTGGCAGCCGTGCTCCCGATCCTGCGGGCCTGGGGGCCTCTCCCGCCGGGCAGTGCTCTGCATCCGAAGCGTGGGGCTGGACGAGCAGAGCGTCCTGCAGGCGCCCTACTGTGACCACCTGCCCCAGCCTCCTGCCGAAACCCCGTGCAACGTCCATGTGCCCTGTCCAGCCACCTGGGCTGTGGGGAGCTGGTCTCAGGTGAGCGTCAGGATGGGAGGGGCCTGCCCCCAGCTCCACTCTAGGTCTCAGGCTGCAGGGAGGCAGAGCCCTGACTGCTGGGCACCGAGGTGGGGGGGGCCTGGGGCCTTCCAGGTCCAGCCCATCCCCGTACCTTGGGGACTGGGATGCCCTGGTGAGCTGCAGCCACCAGCCACAGTCTGGAGCTGGGCGGTGCCAGAAAGGGCTGGTGATGGGACCTGAGCTCTTGGCTGGAGGGCCTCACCCTGGGTGTCCCCTGCAGTGCTCTGTGACTTGCGGGCTGGGCATGCAGCTTCGAGCTGTCGTCTGCACCTACGACACCGGCATTCCCTGTGACGAGGCCCAGCGGCCAGTGAGCCAGGCGGCCTGTCCCTTGCAGCCCTGCCTGAGGGCCCTGGACACCCTGGACCCTGAAGGCTCTGGCAGCGGCTCCTCTAGCCAAGAGCTCTACAACGAGGTGGACTTCCTCCCCC